GTCATGTTCGATTCGCTCATCTCTAATCACATCATCCAAATGAAATAAATGCATTTGTTATTTTCATTATAACATTATTCTGATTTATTGCCATCTGTTTCTATGTCCATTAAAATATTTGGATATATCCAAATCTCCAAAAATGAAATTTTTATCCAAAAAACAAATCAAAACAAAATGCAAATGTCTAGTAGGTAGTCAAGGGAACATAGAAGATTTTACAGCAAGTTCTAAAACTTATGGGTTAATTATGTTCATTTGAAAAAAGGTATATCCCACTAATAAATCTACACCCAAATTCATCATGACACATCCAGATTTAAGATATTCTCCATTACTTGTAGGAAAAAATGTCTTTTGCCAAATAGTATCCATGTGTGGTAGTCTCTTTGCAGGCTATTTCATTGATAGAAGGATCATCGCTGCTAAATATTACCCAAATACGGTACTCCACAGAACATTTCTGCAGCACACTTCCCATTTAAACCTCACAGACCTTTCATAAAAATAACAGCTGGATTAAGACACATTCATACATGAAGCCCACCATGAAAAAATACACATACTGGCCTGCACATTGCATAGAGATTGACAAATTAATCACTTGTCATCTTCTCTCACAGTTGGTAGAGCTCCACTGTAGCTTATTAATATAGATAGCAGTTGACAAAAAGTGCAGCATCAATACATGACTTGTATACCAAACACCAGGAAGCTCCTCATGAATGTGCATTGAACACTCTTCTTTAGCTGACTAGATTAGCATTTTATCCTATAATTTACAAAACCTGCATAAAACACCTAGTTCTCAAGTGTCAGGCACATCATTGACTACCATGTTCTCAGATTAAGTTTTAGTTTATACTATGCAACATGTTTTGTCACAATACTAAGGGTTTACCTCATTGCTACCCAACTACTGTACTTCTCATGAGACTGTCCCTGAACATGGTCTATTTAAACATCGTAGACCTTATATAAATTATACAGCTGGAATCAGACACGTTCATACATGTATCCCCCCACGATCAAATATACAAACTGGCCTGTACATTGCATGTGTGGGGATGACAATAAAGACACAAAGTCCAGTTGGAACAAACATGAAACTTGTAGTGAAGAAAATGCCAAATTACAAACCATCTTAGACAGAGAGCACCCCCCTAGACTGTGAACACTCAGAGTTCAGTTCAAATGCAGAGAGACAGCGGTAGGTGATGTGCCAACAGCGTCTGTTTCAAAGGACTGACTGTGGCTTGGCTGGTCTGGTCCTGTCCCAATTGGTAGGCTTCCTCGAAAGATAACCAGCCAATAACCATCAGGCTCTTTCCTAGTCAGGGAGCTATAGACTCACACTTCTACTTGGGCTGTCTTTCACAGCTGCCTCCCAGTTTTCTCCCTCGAGCTGACAGGATCCTTAAAGTAAGACTTGAAAATAGCCCCAACCCCTGGAGCTGAGCCTAGCTGGAACCTCAGTGTCTTCTGTAGGCTGACTTGCTACCAGACTTTTGCCCCCGGGGGCAAAGCCCCTGCACAGGGGTCTCCTCCTGCAGGACTGGACCCTGGGGACACAGTGATGCCTGCTGTTCAGATCTCTGACTACTTATGGGCTCTCTCTCCACCTTCTGGGCACACCTCCCCAGGGATTGGCTAGAGTCACATAAATATTTAGGCTGCAGGCTTTGTCCTTCCTCCCACTATATTCTATTTCCTAAAAGACAGGGCGAAGTAACAGAGCAGCAGCATGTAAAACCCTGCTCTGTTTACAGAGGAGCTTAACTAAATGTACCTAAAAGCTACTCAAAACAAGAAGGGTGCTACATTAGTGATAAATTTTAGGGTCTTGCTTCCAGAACAGAATTAAGCCTATACAGTTTGTGTTGCACTACATTACTTTCACTGCCTGTGCAAGCAGTAAAAAAAAGCCTATATTTAACCTCCTATATTAATCTGTAGAAGAACCCTTGTGTCCAATTGTGATTTTTCTTACGATTATTCAACATTTACAGGCGATCCAAAATATGTACAGAAGACAGATAGGCATTCGCCAAGGACAATAAACTTTTAGGGGAAGCAACATTCTAGCTTTATTTCATTGTCATTTTTCAAAGTTCTTTCTTGAAACCAGAAATTGTTGAAGTGTTGAAATCAGAATGTAAAAGCAAGCAACTAAATCTATATATATGGTTGTATTACTTTTATGTTTATTGTTTCACCTTCTAAAAGATGTATTATTTTGTTAAGCCAGTCCTGTTATTTATGACTTGACTTCTGTTGAAGCATACTTTTAGCACAACTCAATAAGAGACGGTGGTGGTGACATCAAACCAGCAGAAACCTAGGGGCAGTAGCAAATTAGGAGACAGAAGCATGGTCAGACAGGCAGATGGTAAAGGAAGGTGGCAGACAGAAGTGTAACCTAATCAACAAAAAGAACCTTCAAAGTGATTCAGCAATATACATGTGCATATAAATAAATGAGTGATCATTAAAAATGTGAAAAACTGAAATTCCATAAAAAAATCTTTTCCACCAAATGAATCTTCCAATTCCGAAAAGATAACATGCAATAAAGATGGTGTTCCCCCTTTCGGGTGTGCACTCACCAGAAGTGTAACCAAGGTCAAGATCAGATTTTAGAAAGTAAATACAAATGCAGCAGTCAGGCAACTGCAAACCAACTAAAATTTGTTCATCAGGCATTGGGTGGAAGTTTTTCGTTCCCAGGTGACTAACTAGGGATAGATGTGCAGGCTATAGAAACAATAAATGCTAATAAAAAGCAATTGTAGCAAATTCAAATCATTTTAGCCATATGCAATTTACATCTCATGTGCATCCACAGGTGGATTATTACCTTTATCTCATATCTGCCTCAACTGATTGGTTGATGACACTGTAGCACTCAACACTAAGGAGCTGCTGGATTTTACAGGCCTGCCTAGCATTTAGACATGTGCATATCATTTCATGCCAAATCGATTTTTGAAAAAAGATGTATACGAATTTCCAAATGGACATAGTAATGGATATCAGTGAATCCGAAAAAAAGTTATAACAAAATTACAAATGCATTTGTTTCTGTCAGATAATGTCACATGATGTAATAGCAGTTCAGGCCCATGGGGAAATTAATTACATTTTCAAATTTGTTCGATAATTTGGATTCAAGTAAATTGTGAATTCATTTGAATTTGTAATTGTCACAGTCAGTTCAGTTCCATAGTCTGCAAAGAACGCACAAGAGGGTGTATTACCGTGATACAACATTTATTCAAGAACAGTGACAACAAATGGATACTCACAAACCAAACAGGAAGGCATGTAACAAGATGCATCAGTGTGGGATAACAGAGTCCCTTCATAAACCCATCTGGTTCAAAATTGATGCGTTTCGGGAGCTGCACTCCCTTCCTCAGAGCTGAATGGACAAAGCATGCCAACAACCTAAATGCAGCCTTAGATCAGACGCAAACAGCCAATCCCCTCCATGTGGACACCCTCAGGGCAGGCCCAAACAGAGTAGTAGACACCATAGGGTGGGGCCCAACTAGGGAGGCATCCTCCTCTGGTGTCCGAAACAATATGAAAGCCAAAAACAAACCCATGTATAATGCTCATATGTCAATGTGCCAAAAAATCTGATGCAAATACAACACTGGTTCAACCTGCGGAAACAATTTCTAAGACTGACATATTTGAAAAATACTTTTAGACAGAATGGTAAGATGAATGAGTTCATGCTACTGTCAGGAATCCCCGCTGCGACGGGCAGACGGGCGTTCAGGCGCAGTGCACTGCCCCGTGTCAGAATGCGGGCACTGAGAGACTGGCTGTCCGGGCTCGAGGGAGTTCGTGCATGCTGCAGGGTCTGGCGCATTCCGTGGCACCAATGGCAGCGCTCAGGGGCGGCTGATTTTAAACGGCCCTGAGCTGTCATTCAGTGCCTTCTGGTCCAGCCCTTGTATCCTGTATCTGCGAACACTGTTCTAAGTAAGTTATTGACCTGGATTGTACCTGACCTTGTTGCCTTCTCCTGCCCAGAGAGAAGTAGACACCCATTTTGGGCCCAACCTGGAGGCATCCTCCTCTGGTGCCCCCGTTTGAAATCTGACCTTCTGTTGCTGACCTGGCGTGTGACCCGACTACTCTCTGCCCGCTGCCTTGTACTGCTCCGTCCCCACTGTTACCGACCCGGCCCGTTTGACCCCGCATTTGCTCAGCCATCCATCCATCCATCCCGACGGGAATCACCCGACCTCCTCACATCAGGCTCTTCTCATATGCGGGAGCCCCTGGCGAATACCGCTACCACTGACAGGCGTGCTCAGTAGCCACGACCTGGTCTCGGGGTACTTCAAGTCCATCCCCACCATCAGGGGCTCTGGTGAACACGTACCCTCGGGGCTTAGATACCGTGCGCTGGGGACGCCTGGCCAGTGGAGTGCTAGTGGTACCGCCTGGTGGTCCCTTACAGCTACTCACTGAAATCCAGAATCACCATATGTCTGTGGTCAGCCATAGCCCCCAGCAGAAAAAGCAAAACTGAAATGCCAACAGGTGGTATTCCCTGGAACTACCAGGAAGAGGTAAGTGCTGGCCCCCGGTGCAATAGGGGATCATGGGGCCCCTGTGTACTGTGCCACAGAGAACTTGGTCCGACCCACAGGACTGGATGTGCGTCAGACTAAGGGGTAGGATCTGAACAGGAAGTGCGGCTGCAGAATGGTAGAGCAAGCCTTGCGTAGGGCAAAGAAAGGCGGTACACTCCCAGGGGCGGACTGACAACTCATGGGGCCCCGGGCAATAGGGGATCATGGGGCCCCTGTGTACTTGCCCAAACTCAAAAAAGCCTATGAAAAAGGTACCAGGGGCATCTCATGGGGCCCCCTACTGACCCCGGCCCTTGGGCAGTGCCCGAGATTCCAAATGGTCAGTCCGCCCCTGTACACTTCTAAAGTGGGATAGCTCGACCAGACCAGCCTCCTGGGCTTATCCATGGAAACTGGGAGCTAATGGAAGACACCCAAAACATGGGCCACAGCGTGTGTGGAGAGAGGGGGTGGAGAGTCGCTTCCAATCCGGCTACATATAGAGGCACTCTGGAGGAACATGAGAAGCATCCTGATTTGAGCGCTGATGTGATGTTTATTTGGTTCCATAGCCTAATGCAATTCTTAGGTTTGAAAAATTCGGGGCTACTGAATTTTGCATTATTCATTCTGTTGCATCCGAAAACAGGAAATCCTTCCAAATAGTTTTGATATATAAATTAAATGCACCTGAAATATAGAGCAATCTTCCAAAAAAACTGCAAAATTTTACGAAAACACCTGGACCAACCATATACAAAACTTATTCCTAAAACGAATCAACATGACAAAAAAATATCCTTCAATGAACTAATGCATCTGAAATGAAACAAAACAAAAATTTATGGTGTGCATTTATCTGCAGGTTACAGGATACCCAAATAATTATAAAAAAAATCCCTTAGCTTAAATAGAGAAATAACTAACATCTTACCTCACAAGCCAAGCGTGTGCCTTAAAGCTGAGACCAGCAACTATTCAATGTGTGTCTTTAACCACTTCAGTACCTTTTACCACCTTCCTGCCCAGGCCAATTTTCAGTTTTCAGTGCTCTCACACTTTGAATGACAATTATGCGGTTATGCAATGCTGTACCCAAACTAAATTGTTAGCATTTTGTTAACACAAATAAAGCTTTCTTTGGTGGTATTTAATCACCACTGGGTTTTTTTCTTTTTTGCTAATTTATTGAAAAAAGACCAAGAATTAAAAAAAATAACGTTTTTTGTTGCTTCTGTTCTAACATTTTGCAAATAAATCATTGTTTTTCATAAATTTAGGCCACAATGTATTGTGGTACATTTCTTTGGTAAAAATAACCCAAATCAGTATTTTAGTCTGTAGGAAAGTTATAGAGTCTACAAACTATGGTATATATCTGAAAATCGATCAATCCTGAAGTACTGATGGCCATTCTCATTTGAGGCCCAAAAATGTCAGGATAGTACAGATATCCCCCAAATGACCTCTTTTTGTAAAGTAGACAGTCTGAGGCATTTAGTAAGATGCATAGAGTTTTTTGAAGTTGTAATATTTTGAAGAAATAAAACATTTTCACAAATAGTTTTTTTTTTTAAAACTGTCACCAGTGCAGTACAATTTCATCATACAACTGGTGGGGATCAGGGACACTGACTGGTGACAGTACAAACAAAAACAATTTATTTTTTTAATATAGTTTTTTTTATTACATTGTTTTCAGAATTTTCTTTTATAACACATTGCGACCAGAGTAGTATAATGGCACAATAGTAACAATATTGATCAGTATTTTATGTTTTTTTATTTACACATTATGATTTTTGTAGCAAAGAATAAGCAGCATTTTTTTTTTTGGCCACAGCTAATCACATGACACAGTTGGGCTTGTAGCCCAACAGAATAACCAATGCATTACAGCCTTTACTTGATTGACCTTGATTGGTCACAGCAGGTCACATGGTACTGGCAATGGGCCGGTACACAGATCTGTCATTGGTTGTGTCTGAGTTACACAGCTGGTGAGAGATCTCCCCACAGTGGGGTCTGGGAATGACGTCATATGATGCCCACCCGGATCGACGAGAGTCCTGCTCGGACATCATTTTACTATTGGCCAAGAGGGACCACTTTAAGCTGAGTTATTGACTGAGAACTCCTTCTGAAGGTGCACCTCTGCTCTAGCCACCTCTCTATTTTCCAGGTCCTATTTTATACCCATTTACCAAAGCCTCGGTCTGAATTCTAAAACTGATGAGGCCCCTAAGCAGCAGCCCTAAGAGGCAAAACGGATCTTCTCTGGAAACTTTCTCAACAGGCAAATCCAGGGTGGAAAAGACTGGGTCCCTGGACTCAAATCCTTTCCAGGAAAAGTCCCTTCTAGAACGTCTGTCTGAATATTTACTGTATCTTCTTCCCCAGCCTGCATCACTGGTAATACACCTTCTAGTGATCGGTCAGGATTAAATAAATATTCATAACCCATACTATTGTATCATATGCAACAGGTGACTATTACAGTGCAATGGTCAGCACTTTCACCTAGCAGCATTGGGGTCATTTGTGCGAATCCCAATCACGGCACTACCTGGCTGGAGTTTGCATGTTCTCCTTGTGCCTGCATAGGTTCCTTCTGGTTTCCTCCCACACACCAAAAATATGCTGGTAGGTAAATTGGTATGTGTATGTATGAATGTGAGTTTGGGCTCTTAGACTGTAAGTTCCTTGAGGGCTGGGACTGATGTGATTATATATATATATATATATATATATATATATATATATATATATATATATATATATGTATGTATATATATATATATATATGTAAAGTTCTGTGTAAATTGATGGTGCTATATAAGTACTTAAAATTGGTATAGTCCAAAAGTAAAGTTGCACATGGATGATGCCTTCATAGGCAAAACTTTAGTTAACCGAAAAGCTTCACTATAGTCCCTCATCCAGGGCCATCCCTCTGACATGTTTTACCTGATGGGATTAGTCATAGAGGATGATAATGTATCTTCCTAGGCAACAGGCAGAAACCGTGCCCAAGGCTTTGGAGAAACCCAACAAATGCAAAATACAGTACTAATCTCAGCTCAGCCTGGCTACATCCTAGCTGCCCACTGAATAAAAAAGAATGCATTGCATCTTTAGCAGGGCTGCTACCACATCAACTTCAAAGCTAGTTCACTATCTGCATGATATTATACAGCAAATTTCATATTTTGAATATTTTCATCTTCAAGACTTAACACAGGAAGGATTATGGTAGCTAACCAAGTCTTGAACTTTATTAAAGTTTCTTAAGATTAACAAGCATCTTTATTAATTAGATTGTGACATTCTGGGAAAAACAGGCAGCCGTTTGGGTTCTACAAATGTAATTAGTGATGACATTAACATCTCCTGGATTAACATGAATAATTCTATTGTGCTTCTTAATACTATTGATTCTTAGTCCCAGGCACCAGAACAGATGCGCAGAGCAACAGACTTTTAATTGACACAGCCCCACATATATAAATGTGAGACTAAGAGCATTCTCACGGGTTTAAAGCCAAGGTTGGACACGGCTGGAACTGATAATTACTTTTACTTTGTGATAATAGACCCAGCTGTGCATTTAAATACATATCAGACAAAAATGCAAAACTAACATCATTTAATCAATATTTGATCAGGGCAAAATCTCTGCTCAGTAAGGAAAGCAAGTTTGGAAAGTAAGTATCTCCTCAATAGATTCTCTTAATCTCATATATATGGATTCATTGGATGAGTGAATAACTATTATACATAGTGAGTTGGCTTGGCTCAATATTGATTTTCAGGAAATTGGGCCAATGCTTCACAACTGCAAAATGGTTTTAGAGTATGGATATTCTCCATAATTCAAAACAAAACTGGTCTAGTTGGTCACCTGGTCAATGTTTTGTTGGCATGTCAATTCTGCTCCCTTCTAGGGTTCCCAACATAAAATTAGCCAGTACAGTAATAAAATGCAACTATGGACTGTGTAGATGGACAATGTTGTCAAATGCTGCTTTTTGCAAGTGTTCATGGCATTACTGAATACATACATTTGAAAGCAAAATGTAGCTGTCAGGAGCTGACTGGCGGTAGCCTCTAGTGCCCCACAGACCAGAATTCCTCAGGGCTGCTACTAATTTAAGCCCCAGGACTGCTACTTCACCAGAGCCCCTGATGGTGGGGATGGACTTGGAGCAGACTGAGACCAGGTCGTGGCCCCCGAGTACAACCGGCTGTGGTAGAGGTAGTTGCCAGTGGCAAGTAACAGGTGAGAGCCTGATGTGAAGAGGCGGAGTGTAGCGTAGTCAGACAGGCCAGGTCGGTAACAGCGGAGGCAAACGGTACAGAGCAGCAGGCTAAGAGTAATCGGGTCACAGGCCAGGTTCAGCAACGGAGGTCAGATAATCAGGATCAGGCAGAGAATAGTCAAAACGAGCCAAAGGTCAGAGCAGGAGATGGTCAACAGGATCAGGGTCAGGCTGGGGCGGCAACAAGGCAATCACTGGAACAGAAATGAGCAGGAACACAGGAACAAGACCATACGGCAATTTGGGTTTGCACAGGGCTGGTTTAAATAGTGTGCCCTGCGCTGTCATTGGTGCCAGGCGTGCGTTTGTGAGTGCGCGGCCGCTGCTGTTGCCGCAGTTGCCTATGCCCTAGTGCCCGCCGGCTAATGCGCATCGGTATTCTGAGCATGCGCAGACCCGTGCACCGCTGCGATCCCTGGCAGTAGCACAAATCTGGGTTTCATATACAAAGAACTTGAAGAGCCACCCAAAGCACTACAAAGCCTCCCCTTGCTGTCCAAAGCACAGAATGGGTGCTGGCGTTTGAACAAGCTCATCTAGGCTAGCAGAAGCAAATCAGATGACAGAAAGTGGAAACGCCACACACCGAAGTCCAGCTACTATACAGAGAGATGAAGATAAGCCTTCAGCCTAAGCTCCTCCTGACTACACTCCTCTGACCTGTTTCACTCCACCCATGGGGCATAGTCACAGAAATGTATCCCTATTGGTGGGTTGAAATACAGTATATCAGAGAAGTGTAGTAAAGAGGAGCTTAGCAAAAGCCATATCTTCACCTCTCTGTATAGTAGCTGTTCTTTGGTGTGCGGTGTTTTCACCTTCTGTCAAAATCTTGGTTTAACCAGCTTTGGTTGCAATACAAATGCATTTAAATAGGACCAAAGAAACAGTCACAGAATTATATCAACAGAAAAGATGAGAAAAACCTGTGAGCCACCTTAAGTGTTCAATAGACAATTGATTAACATAAGTTCCCAGGCTCCCAATTACATCCTCATTTACATGTAATATAATCAAAATGTTTATAAATAGAAGGTGCCGCGTTCTTAAATTAAAATAAAATAATAAAAATCAATACATTATTTAAATAGCAGACATGATATTTCTATATAAGGAGTGAGAGAAAAAAAAAAA